GGCTCGGTGGATGCGGCCTCGCACGCGGGCCAGAGCTGCGGCTGCGGGCGGGGCCAGCCGCGCAGGCCCCCCAGGCGCGGCCACAGGTCCCCCTCGCCGTTGTGGAGGAGCACGAAACGGCGCTGCGACAGCAGGGGCAGCATCTTCTGGCTGCGCAAGCTCTTTTGAAAAGTCTCCAGCGCCAGGTCTGCAGGTTACGTATGGAGTCAGTGGGGGGTGGGGGTGGGGAGCAGGAGGAGAGGCTGCAAGTGGTAGGGAAGAGGTGTGTGTGTGGCCACCTGCGGGGAGGGCTGGGCAGAGCCAGACTCGTGGGGGCCCGAAATTGGGAAGAGGGTAGCGTGCGCGCCCGTGACCGGGCAGACAGCTGGGGGCGTGTTGAGGGTGTGGTGGTGGGGACTGTCCAGGGGCTCACCCAGGGTCTCCATGACCACACCGGGGACCACCTCCTTGAGGACTTCACAGTTGGTGTGCAGAGCAGGGTTGGAGTTCATCTCCAGCAGCCACACCTAGGCAGAACACTGTTAGCACCTCTCCCCCGCCCTTCCCCCTCCAGCCACTGGCCAGCGGGAGGCAGAGGCCCAGGCCTGCATTTATCTGGGGACTCTGGGAAATCTCCTCTTTTCTGCAGCCTCACTACCTCTGTTTGCCCACTGAGGCTTTAAGATGGTGAGGGTTTGGTCTGGTCACAGGGTGCCCTGAGGTGGGGGTGCATATCATTTCCACCTGTGGTAGGAGCTGAGCTTCAGGGACACATCCACTTCCAGGACTGGGTGGAGGCAGGGTGGGGTCTGAGTCCACCCCAGGGGCCCGCTTGTTTAGGGTGTGCAGGTGGCCCTGTCTCCTTGTTTCTGCCTGCCAGGCCCAACCCGCCCAAGACAGTACCTTGAAGTTCTCATCAATCAGGAAGTCACAGCCAATGAGATCGAAGTAGCCTAGCTTGCACTCCAGCTTGGATTTGACTGCCAGGAAGCAGTGGGCCATGATCTGTTGCATCCGCTTCTGAGAGTGAGGCAGGGAGGACGCTCCGGTTACACTGCCAGGCGTGGACACCCACACCTGCACTCCCGCCTACACTCTGACTTGTATGGTCACACCTGCCCACACTCTTGTGCTCTCAGAGAACAGAATCTCAGTCTACAAACCCACGGAGTTCCTACTGTATAGTGAGTATGGGGTTGAGGAAAACTTGAGAGAACTCTGTGCCCTTGAGCTCCTCACTCATAGTAGGAGAGATTTGACTCTTGTTAAGAACAGTGACCTTTCACTTTTAAATTGGAACTAAATGATCAACATGCATGTGTATATAGGCAGTAAAATTCAGTGGAAATCAAGCAGGTGGGAGGAGGTATGAGAGGATAGGTAAATTCACACTTAACAGACACAATGACGAATTATAACCCTGACTCAAACTGTGTACAAAAGTAGTGCATGTAACCAAAATGTTTGTACTCCTATAACATTCTCAAATAAATTTTAAACAGGTTAGCCCAAAAGAATAAAAAAGAACACTGAGCTTTGTTGTAGTTTAACTTGCTCTAGTTAGTTTCCCAGCTCAGTGGTAGTCTTGAAAAGTAACAATCTGAATCCCTAGTACTGAAGATACCAGAACAGACCTCATTTATAAAGAATTATCTTGTATCAAATATAATAGTTTCTAGAAGATTCCACTTGAAAGCACTACAGGCTTTCACTGAGAAAATCTGTGAAGAGATAGGAATTATAAAAGGGAACAAAAATAGAAAGTATAACTGGCCATGTGCAGGTTGCTCATGCCTGTAATCCCAGCACTTTGGGAGGCTAAGGCAGGAGGATTGCTTGAGGCCAGGAGTTCAAGACCACCCCAGGCAACATAGTGAGACTTTATCTCCATAAAATATAAAAAAGAAAAATTAGCCAGGCATGATGGGGCATGCCTACAGTCCCAGCTACTCCAGGTTGAGGCAGGAGGGTTGCTTGAGTCCAGGAGTTCAGGGCTGCAGTGAGCTATGATTGTGGCACTACACTCTAGCCTGGTGACAGAGTGACCACCTGTCTCAAAACAACAACAACAACAACAACAAAAACCCCAAATTGCCCATCAACTGATGAGTGGATAAAGAAAATGTGATATATATACACATAAATATTTATACACACACACACATATATATAAAAACACACACAGCCATAAAAAGGAATGAAATGTCTTTTCCAGCAACTCGGATAGAGAAGCATCTTAGGAATAGAAAAAAAAAATAGCAAATATTCTCACTTATAAGTAGGAACTAAACAAGGGATACATATGGTCATAAATAGGTATAATAGACACTGGAAACTAAGAGGGGGACCATAGGTGAGTGAGGGATAAACTTCTACCTATAAGTACAATATACACTATTCCTTTTTTTTTTTTTTTTTTGAGAGAGAGGGTTTCATTTTGTTACCCTCTGTAGAACACTGTGATGTCATAGCTCACAGCAACTTCACACTCTTGGGCTAAAGTGATTCTCTTTCCTCAGCCTCCTGAGTAGCTGGGACTATAGGCACCCGCCACAACACCTGGCTATTTTTAGAGATGAGGTCTCACTCTAGCTCTGGCTGGTCTCAAATTTGTGAGCTCAAGCAGTCCACCTGCCCCAGCCTCCCAACTGCTAGGATTACAGGCGTGAGCCATTGTGCCCAGCAACATACATTATTCTTATGACAGGGACACTGAAAGCCCTGATACAATTCATCTATGTAACAACCACCACCACCACCACCAAAGTATAACTAAATAAAAACTAGAGGAGCTCTGTTCTAGTAGAAGAACAGAAAGAAAAGTGAATGAAGAAGAATAAAGCGTCAGAGATCTATGGGTGGGACATCATCAAGTAGACCATATGTACAATGGGAGGCCCAGAAAGAAAGGAGAGAAAAGGGTATAAAGAATGTTGGGAGAAATGATGGCAGAAAACTTCCCAATTTGATGAAAAACATTAATCTGCATATTCAAGAAGCTCAATGAACTCAGAAATAGGACAAACTGGTATCAGTGGCTCACGCCTATAATCCTAACACTGTGGGAGGCTGAGGCTGGTGGATCACCCGAGCCTGGGAGTTCAAGACCAGCCTGAGCAAGAACAAAACCCTGTCTCTAAAAAAAATAGCCGGGCATTGTGGTGGGTGCCTGTAGTCCCACTACAGGCCAAGGCAAGAGAATCACTTGAGCCTAAGAATTTGAGGTTGCTGTGATGCCATGGCACTCAACCCCAGGGGCAACTGAGTGAGACTCCATCTCAAAAAAAAAAAAAAGGAGAAATTAAGACATTTCCAGATAAACAAAAACAGAGGTAGACCTGCCCCATGGTCTTTTGTGCTGAAATGAAGGGACACTGGATGGCAACTTGAATTCAGTATAGATAACTACATAATTAAGTATAAAGGACAGCATAAAGATATTTTTGTTTGTAATTGCACCTTCCTAAAAGACACAAATGTATAGAGCTGTAATTTGTGACAATAACAGTATAACAGAGGGATGGAGCTATGTAGGAACAGCGATGTTTTTTTCTTTTCTTTCTTTTCTTTTTTTCATTTTTTTTCTTGTGAAGTTTCCAAGCAAGAGCAGTAATATTTTTAATATTTTTGTATACTATTGAAAGTAATTGGTATTAACGTGAACTAATTTTTCTTGTTTGCTTATTTGTTTGGTTTATTTTCTTTTTTTTGGTTGTTTTTTGCAGGTTTTGGCTGGGGCTGGGTTTGAACCTGCTACCTCTGGCATATGGGGCCAGCGCCCTACTCTTTTGAGTCAGGGGCGCCACCCCCCCCCTTTTTTTTTGAGACAGAGTCTCACCTTCTCGCCCTCAGTAGAGTGCTGTGGCAATGTCATACTGCTCACAGCAACCTCTAGTTCTTGGGCTTAGGTGATTCTCTTGCCTCAGCCTCCTGAGTAGCTGGGACTACAGGTGCCCACCACAAGGCCCAGCTATTTTTTTGTTGCAGTTTGGCCGGGGCCGGGTTTGAACCCACCATCCTCTGTATATGGGGCCAGTGCCCTACTCACTGAGTCACAGGCACTGCCCTTGGTTTCATTTTTTGAGATAAAATCTCACTCTGTCACCCAGGGGAGAGTGCCATGGTGTCAGCATAGCTCACAGCAACCTCAAATTCCTGGGTTCAAGGGATTTTCCTGGATCAACCTCCCAAGTAGCCTGGGATGGCAGGTATGTACCACCACACCTGGCTAGTTTTTCTAGAGACAGGGTCTTGCTCTTGCCAGGGCTGGTCTGGTACTCCTGAGCTCAAGCAAGCATCCCAGAGTGCTAGGGTTACAGGCATGAGCCATTGCACCCAGCCCTGAAATAAACTGTTATAAATTATGATGTTAACGGTAATCCCCAGACAGTCACCAAGAAAATAACTCAAAAATGTATAGTAGACCAGGCGAAGTGGCTCACTCCTATAATCCTAGCACTGTGGGAGGCTGTGGAGGGTGGATAGCTTGAGCTCACAAGTTTGAGTTTGAGACCAGCCTGAGCAAAAGTGAGACCCTGTCTCTACTAAAAATAGAAAAACTGAAGCAAGAGGATCGCTTGAGCTCGAGAGTTGGAGGTTGCTGTGAGCCATGATGCCATAGCACTCTACCCAGGGCAACAGCTTGAGACTATCCCCCCCAAAAAGAAATGTATAGTAAAGGCTGGACATGGCGGCTCATGCCTGCAATCCTAATCCTGAGGTGGGTGAATTGCTTGAGATCAGGAGTTCAAGACTAGCCTGAGCAAAAGTGAGACCACTTCTCTACTAAAAATAGAAAAAAAAAAAAAAACTAGCCAGGTGTTATGGTGCACCCCTGTAGGCCTAGCTACCCAGGAGGCTGAGGCAAGAGGATTGCTTGAGCCCAAGAGTCTGAGGTTGCTGTGAGCTATGGCACCACGGCACTCAACCCAGGGCCACGGAGTGAGACTTGACTCCCTCCTCCGACAAAAAAATACAGTAAAATAAATGGTAAGGTAATTAAAATGGTACACTAGAAAATATCTATTAAACACAACAGAAGGTAGTCATGAGGGAATTGAGAAACCAAAAAAGGCATAAAACATAGAAAACAAATAGCAGTGGCTCACACCTGTAATCCTAGCACTTCAGGAGGCCGAGGTGGGTGGATCCCTTGAGCTCAGGAGTTCGAGATCAGCCTGAGCAAGAGACCCTGTCTCTAAAAATACCCAGCCTTGTGATGAGTGCCTGTAATCCCAGCTACTCAGGAGGTTGAGGTAAGAGAATCACTTGAACCGAAGAGTTTGAGATTACTGTGAGCTATGATGCCATTGCACTGTACCAAGGGCAGCAAAGTGAGACTCTGTCTTAAAATATATAAATAAATAAATAAAACAAATAAATAAAGGGAGCCAAAAGTTAAAAAAAAGAAAACAAATAGTGGCTCGGCGCCTATAGCTCAA